AACTAACTTTGGGAAATGTTGCCTTCTTATTGACTTGCAATGCACATATTAAAATTTTTAGTTTCTATGGTAATAATGACCCATTTAAATTTATTTCAATCATTTCTCATCAAGGTTCCCCTTTATACAAGATTGCTACTAACACCTGGCCTTACTAGCATTCCATTGAACCCATTTGATAAATCTGCTTATGGTTTAGATTTCTAGAGCCATTTTATATACCTATCCCTTTGGAATCTCTTCTGTCCCACTCATGCAATGTTTAATGTATATCTTTTAGATCACTTAAAATCCTTTCAGAATCAGGTGTGACAAAAATAAATAATAAATATATTGAGCTATGTGATTTAACCAAGTAACATTCACACTTGAGGCCTAAATTTCCTGTTAAAGATATTAGTCATGTGAAACACATACATATCCCAAGCTTGCTTTCCAACTGATATTATAAGTTTCTATCTTCCCATCCCTAATATTAAAGTTGGCAAAATCTATTGGTACTGGTTCCCCTGGGCCACTGGATGGCTCTATTTCTCATCAATATTCTTCTGTACCCACATAACATCAGACATGGTGGTACCTGCCTTTAATCTCAGCACTTGGAAGGCTAAGCCAGGAGGATAGCAAGACTGATGTCACCATGAGTTACACAGCAAAACCCTGTCTCAAAAAAAAAGTTTCCTTGATGAATACTACCAAGCTGACAGAGAAATCCAAATTTCAGAGGTCCTGAGAATGAGATTACCTTTCCAATACCCAGGGAAGCCTGAGGCTGGAGATAATCAGAGCTGTAAAAGTTGCTTGGCTTTAAGAAGCTGAAATGTATTCATTAAAAGTAAATTTTCAGATGGCCTACTGAGACCTGGCTGCCAGGCCCCAAGTTAGACTAGAAGGAGTAAGATATGGTCCCTACCTCTGAGAGTGTGGTTTTCTTAAAAAGAGGATAAGAAGACTGAGAAAACTATTATGATTTAGGTTGTGTATTCTAAATTAGAAGTGGTCAGGTACTGCTGAAGATTCTGGAGATAAAACAGACAATCCTCACATTACTAGTTTGCTTTCCAGCTGACCCACTAGGTATGAACGTGGCTCTTTCAGAGCACAGATAAGGTTGGCTTCCTAAAGGAAAGCTGGGAGAGACTTCACAGTCAGATGGATATGAGTTTTTGAAAGGTGCACAGAAGTTTGTCTATGAGAAAAAGTGGAAGATAGTGCTGAAAAAGGACTTTTGGGCAAAAGAGCAGTGTTTTAGAATGATGATAAATTTGGCTTAAGTATAGGGTGCCAGGAAAATGAAGAGGGGCAGTAAGAATGGAAAAGTAATTCAGAGAGGTAGACCTCAACTTAAGCAAAAGCTGTATCTGATCTCAGTGGTGGGCTGGATCAGTGGGGTCATAGGGGACTTAGGTGCTTAACATGGTACAGACAGTAGTGTCAGCAACTGAAGTATGTTTCTCAGACTCTAGTTCTTTGAGCCCATGCTTTAATTACTATCTACTCACCATGACTCTCCAGCCTAGGTTGAGTTCCAGACCTTTGTATCCCAGAGCACTACTTGATAGCTAGCTCCACCTGGTTATTTCAAAAGTGCGTAAAACTTAGCGTGACAAAACCAAACTGGACTCATAATCTTCCTGCCAAGCTGGTCACCTTCTGATGCTTCCCCTCCATTGTATGGCATACCATCTATCCACTTGTACAACCAGAGGTCATAATCCTGACACCTACCCAACTCATCCCTCACAAAGAATCTATCACCAAATCCCACTGACTTTCCTTATGAAGTCTCTCAAATTCATCACTTCTCACCCGTATCTCCACTACTCTAGTCAAAGCTACCTGGACAAATGTAACAGTAGTCTTCTAGATTACTTGCTTTCCCCCTACAATTCATATTCCACTCTACAGCTAGCATGATGCTTTTTAATGAAAAATCTGTGTGTCACTTGCCTATTAAAGCCCATCAGTGGGTTCCCACTCCTTATGATTCTTTTTCATGATCTAATTGAATAAGCATTCCCTCTGCTCACATCTCCAGATTCTTAGGTAACTTTCTCTGTGGTTGTCTGCCATCCCATTGCAGTGGCCTTCTTTCAGTTCCCTTAATATGCTACACTCAGAACATATTCCATTTTTCCCATACCTCTCCTGCCATGGCTCCCATTCATCATTTAGATCATAGCTAAAATGCCACATCTCAAAAAGCATTCTGCTATTCCTTCACTCTAGCTCAGTTCCTCGTTAAATGTCCTAACCTAACAGCCCCTACTCTTCATAGCACTTTTAACTGTACTAATACATTGTATTGATATAATTGTAATGAAATGTAAAATTTGAAAAGGCACAGTGCTTGCTTTATCACCTTTGTATTTTCCAGCTTAAGACAAATGTCTTATGCTTAGTAGATGCTCTGGTAGGTACAAATAGGAAATGTTAGAGACAGGGGTATACTTTTGTGGCAGAGTACTTTCATAGCATATGTGAAACCCTAGGTTTAATCCCAGCACCAAGAGAGAGAAAGAAAGAGAGAGAGAAAGAAGGAAGAGGAGGAAGAGAGGAGGAGAGAGAAAACAAAAACAAAAAACAAGACCAGTAACAGAGAGAATAGGAAAGATTGCATTTTTGATTACCATCTTGGACAGTCGCAACACATATTTTCAGATAACAAAAATAACTATTTAACTGTGTTTATTCCAACATTTTCCAAACATGCTCAACTATGGATCTTTCTACTCCATAAGTTGCTGGCACTTTTGGGGGCACCTGTGTTCCAAGAAATGCTGTGTAATTGACCACCCTGTGATTGGGTTGTCTGAATCATTCCTCCTCCATCCTTAGAGTGTGCTCCCCAAGATCCACCCCAAGACATATGAGAAACTCTGGGATGGGGCTCAGTAATCAGTGTTTTTACAAGTCCCTTGGGTAATTCTGACACATATTTTGGATCACTGGAAAAACTATAAACATCTTAGAAACAAACCTGATCCACAGCCTGATATGTGGTGGCTTCTGCTAAGAGCCAGAGACAAAACATAGCAGTTCCCTCATGATTCCTACTAACCCAAGTCCGGAGTAGATCTTGCCAGATTTCAATAATTGCCTTTTGCTGAAGGTGGTTTGGTGAGATTTTGTTGCCTGAATTCAAAGATTAAGCTACACCAGAAAAATGAAACAAACAAAATCAGGAGCCAAGCCCCAGTTCTACCAAAAATGAGCTACAAGGCTATGGATGAGCCCCTTCTTTTGGGACCACAATCCCATGACCTACTAAATGATGGGGTTGGACTGGATATCTGAGGTGCCTTTACCCTCTAATGTGCTGATCTGGACATGGGTTCCTTTGGATTACTTCTTGGCTCTACAGATCCCCTAAGGAAGTTCCCTAAATTCCTTTAGTTCTATATATTGTCTCCAGGAAGTTAAAGTAACAAAAATAGAAAACAGACAACACTCCAATTATATATGTTCTCTTTTCCTGTCTATTAAGGACTATTAATTATAAATATGCTTTAAATAAACTTTTTTCCCCCCGAGACAGTTTCACTAGGTTGCCCAACCTGGCCCTGGACTCCTGGGCTCAAGCGATACTCCTGCCTCAGCCTCCTGAGTACCTAGGACTACAGGTGCATACTTCTGTGCCCAGTAATCAGCTTTTAATAAGGCTTATTTAGTTCTCCAGTTCTTTCTTATTTAAAATTAAATTTTAGCCCATTATAATTAGCCTAATGTCAGTTAAGGCAATTGTCTAAAAAATGTATTCAGTAATAGGACAAAATTATGCTAACAAAAGTCTTTTTTTGTGCAATTTGTTTCATCAGAAAAAAATGTAACTTGTCTGAACAATCAATATTAAGTGAAATGGCAATATCAAAGTGTTTTAAAGATTATAAACAAGAGGCTTCAAAGGAAAACAGCCTAAAATCCTAAAATAAATAGTAAGAATATCTTCTATTAAACCCCAACATCCTACATTATATAATTTCTTAGTTGACAGAGAATAAAAATGAGTATTGTTTTGGCTTTTAAATTCCTATCCCAATACTGTTCTCTGATGCTGAAACGGAAATAGTGACCAAATTCTTTGATGGACAACATTACAGTGAGAAATGAAGGCTTCCCAATAATACAAAGATTTTCCTGTATCTCCCAGATGCCAGGGAAGTAAGAGAAATAACTCAGTCTCCCACTGAAAAGAAACTCTTTATCTACACTTAAAAAAAACTGCTTTTAGAAAGATTGAGCTCAAGGTATAATTTTTAAAATGCAGGAAAAGCTCCCAAGGCAGGGTAAAGAAAAAAAAATTACTGAGAGAGAATAAAAAGAAACTAGGCGAAATCTTTCAACAGAGTAGAAACTGTGTCTCTGAAAGGTTTTGATCCAACCCTATTTGTTATCCTAGAAAAGCCCTTCTGAAGAAAGGTCTCAGTGTAGAGCTGTCTGAAAGAAGCCAACCCCTTGGAAATAGGGACGCCTCAGCCATTTATTAATGTCAAATATACCGCCTGCATGAATTAGTCAGCTTGTCCTTTGGAAGCCACACAGAAAAGTCCTCGTGCACCTGCCTCTCAGTGTCCTGACACTTTTGGCTTTATTGATCGCAGTAGCAACGAGCAGGAAATAAAAGATTTTTTTAAAAAGACAAACATAACTATATCTACCTTCTCAATAGAGGATTAATCCATTTTAAAGGCTTTTTGTTGGCATATCATCAGTGACCACAGCATAGAGTTTGTTGAGATTTAAAGTGAAAGGCAAAACAGTCATTTTCTTAACCTGGCAGAATTTAACCAAATTACCACAAAAACTGACCTTAGAAACAAAGAGAAATGGAGCAGGAAAAGGCCAGATTTCTTACTGGCATTACCACAGTGGCAAATATCCCAGAACTAACAAAAGCTGTCAAGTGGCAAGAAAAACTAAAGAACTTTCTCAAAACAGCCAAGCCTGGGGCACACTGCATCCCCAACAGCTAGAGTGAACTTCAGAAGCAACACACAGGTAGAAGGTCCAGCCTCATTCTTTATTTACAGCATAGTTCAAAGTCATTAAATCAAGTACAAAAGAAATGGCCTCCATTTCCTGGATTGGCATCCAACATCCTTCCTACCAGCTGCACTTACGTCATTTATATCCACCTTCTGCTTTCCTTTTTGGAGGGTTGGAATGAGGACATACAAATGGGCTGGAGAGACTTTGACCTCAAAATTAAGGAGAAAGTAAATCCCTGCCTGCAGAGAGACAAAGGAAGTGATCCTCCCTCTTATGAAAGACATTCGGGAACTCTGCTCCAGTTCTGAGGCCGCTGATGGTGTGGGAGTTGCCATGATGACATTCTTCCCGGAGGTGGCACAAAGACAGTGAGGGTGGAGGCAATCACACTGGTGGGATGGTTGCTCTCATCTCTAGTACTCTCTTCTATCTCAACCTCAGCCCCACCAGATCTATTAACACAGGAGAGAAAGAAATTTCAAGTAATGAATGGGAATGTGAGTGGAGGAGTGAACATAAAAGAAGAAAGGAAAAACTATCAAGAGTTGCTCAGTGCCGCCTTCTGGAAGGTTTATAGAAATCTCTGATCCACTGCTTCATGTATTTAACTTCCAATGAGCGGGCTAATAGCAAGGCCTTTGGATCATAGGCATTGTTGGCTCGGAGATCTAAATGATGAGCCCCCTGGGGGATGATGACTGCAACCAGGGTATCTGAGATGTCTTTGGTTACTCCACCTCCTGACCAGGGGTCCAGGTCACCATTGCTGCAAGTGAGGAAAAGATGAAAAAAAAAAATAATAATAAGGTTATTAGTTTCTCATAACCACACTCAGATCAAACAGAAGAAACCTGTATGTATAACACCTAAAATCATAAGCTTATAATCTAGGAGATGTGATGTCAAGATCTAACTTGTAAAAAAAGGTGCTGGAGATTTATGATATTTCTGCAAAAAATAGAATCAAAGAAGACTTAAATTGTTGCCCCCATGGATCAAACTACACTAACTGAGACTTGGAAATTAGAAGCCCAAATTCCAATCCCCGCTTCATCATTCAAAAGCTATGTGATGCAAGTTATCTGACTCAAGTTTCCTCATCTGTAATAGAGATAGCAAGGCCTACTTCATAAGGTTATAAGGATTAAACTGAGACTACATAGGAGTCCTTCAACTACTAAAGTGATAAAGAAAAAAATTTCCACATTTAAAAATGCAAATTATCCCTTAGCTCAAAGAAAGAAAGGGAAAGAAAAAGAAGGGAAGGAAGGGAGGGAGGGAGGGAGGAAGGGAGGAAGGAAGAAATCAAGCTGTGTTTTTTTTTTTGTTCAATACAGTATAGTACTTTGGGAAACAGGGTGGCAGTACTGAAAAGTCCCCAGGAACTGATCAGAAACTTTAGGTATTACTCAAAGGTCTTCCCTTTACATTAAAGTTTTTAAAAAGATGATTATCTTTGTGGGTTCATACAATACATGTCTGACTGATATAAACAGGGTCAATCATTGAAACAGGTTGCTTAGCTGAATAGAAAAAAAAAGTACAGCCAGCATCCCTAATATTTTTTAAAAGCTTTGTTGAGATATAATTCATCGACCACAAAATTCACCCATATGCAATTCAATGGCTCTTAGTATATTCAGGGTAGTACAATCATCATAATTAATTTTAGAACATTTTCAGCACCCCAAAAAGAAATTCATATTCATTGGCAGTCAGTCACTTCCCATTCTTCCCACACTTTCTCACTCTCAACCCTAAGCAAGCAATAATCCACTTCCCATCTCTATAGATTTTCCTGCTGGATATTTCATATAAAAGGAGCAGAACAGCAGGTAGCAAGTAGTCTCTTGTGACTAACTTCTTTCACTTGGTGTAACATTTTCAAGTTCCATCACATTATAGCATAAGTCAGTATACCATTCCTTTTTACTGCTAAATAATATTACATGGTGCAAATAAAAACCTCATTAAGATTCCACCTCACTCCTGTTAGAACAGCTATCATCAAGAACACCAACAACAAATGTTGGCAAGGATTCGAGGAAAAAGGAACCCTCATACACTGTTGGTGGGAATGCAAATTAGTACAATCACTGTAGAAAACAGTATGGAGGCTCCTCAAAAACTAAAAATAGAATGACCGTATGATCTGTCAATTCCATACCTAGGGATATGCCCAAAGGAATGTGAGTCAGGTTGCAATAAAGACATCTGCACACCCATGTTTACTGCAGCATTATATTCACAATAATTAAGCTATGGAAACATCCCAGATGTTAAGAAAATGTGATATCACACACACACACACACACACACACACATATACACAATGGAATTTTTTTTTCTCTTAGGTGGTTGTGGGCCTCAAACTCTGGACCTCCAGACCTCTAGGCCAGCACTCTAGGCCTTGAATCACCCCACCAGCCTATAATGGAACATTATTCAGCCATAAAGAAGAGTGAAATATTGTAATTTACAGGTAAATGGATGGAACTGCAGAACATCATATTAAGTAAGCCAGGTTCAAAAAGACAAAGGCTGCATATTTTCTCTCATATGTGGAAGATAGATCTAAATACAAATACAAGCATTATCACATATACATACATATATACACATATATATAAATATGTGTGTATATATATAACATGTTTCCAAAAGTGGGTCAATTAGCAGAGACTAAAGGGAGGAAGAAAACAAGAATGATAGAGAGTGAATAATATTGAAATATATCACATCTGTGTAGGAACAAGACACAACAAAACACACTGAAAACTGTAAACAATACAGGATAGGGGAAAAGGGTAAGGAAGAATAATAGAAGGGGTTAGACTTATTAGTGTACAATATATTCATAGGTAAAATACCAAGGCAAAACCCCACTGAACAATGAACAGACAGGGACACAATGAAGGACAGAAATGTAAAACAGGTCATGTTAAGAGGAGGGTCATGGAGGCAGGAGGAATGGGGAAAGTAAAGAACTTAAGATCAGCTTGTTAATTTCTATAATAAAGATAGCTGGGATTCTGATAAGGATTACATTGAGTGTGTAGGTTGGTCAATTTGAGGAATACTGCTATCAGTAGTGAATTATGACATGTAATTATGATTTTGTGCTGCCACAGGGCCCATTTTAAACGTAAGCTGGACTTTTTCATACCAGAAGCAGGGCTCTGGTATGACACAACTTCCATTTCTATTTCCTACTAATCCCTAGTTCCTCAGTGGGGTTAATCCACATACCTATCTAATACAACTGCTCCCTGGTGATCATTTCCTTATGGGACAGCTAGGTGCAGCCTGTTTAGCCCTCACACCCTGCACGGACTGTGACTAGCTCCCAATCTCTGTGTGACCTCCTGGAGCAAAAGCCTGCGTGCTTTAAACCCACCAATCAAAACTCCCCACAGGAACACCTATTTGGATAATGCTCTGGACCCAATAAATGCATTAGCCTACAAGTCCCTTTCTCTCTCTCCCTGACCTCTATGTGTGGCCTACAGATGAGCCATGTATCCCCAGGTTCTGTGAGAACTAAAAAAATGCTTAAACTTTCACATTGTGGTTCTGTTACTGAAACTGGGCCCATAATCCACCCTGATGAAGAGACCACTGCATCCCCAGTGGATGCTCTTCTGTCTGGTCTTTGGTGGCTGCTAGTGACAGTAGCTGCCAGTTCAGTTGGTGGAGAAACTCAAAGAGCTTCATTCAAAACACCATCTTAAGAGTACCACTTCTTCCAGTACAATAAACATGAGATGCCCCTCCATTTAAAGGAAGATATTTTTAATTTCTTCTGACAAAACCTTGTAGTTTTCAACATCCACATCTTGCATTTCTTTTTGTTCCTACTGCTATTGTAAACCAAATTGCTCTCTAGTATTACTAAAAGACATACCTATCACTTCACACATACACAGAATGGTTTAAAGTTTACTAAACCTTTCACAGTTTGATCACTCTAACAACCTTATGAGATAGGTTTGGTTACAACCCTCTTATAGATGAGAAAAGTAATGCCTACCAGGCCAGGCATGGTGATGCATGCCTGTGATTCCCGCTACTCAGGAGGCAGAGGTAGGAAGATCATGGTCTGGGGCCAGCCTGGGCTAAATTAAGGAACCCTATATGAGGAACAAATTAAAAGTAAAAGACTGGGGGTGGGGGGGGTGGCTCACATTGTAGAGCATGAGAGGCCCTGAGTTTGATCACCATTACTGCAAAAAAAAAAAAAAAAAAGGCTTGCCCAAATCATTGAACTTGGCAAATCTGAGAGTCAAGCTCAGATCTTATAACCCTAGTTCAATGTTCAATTTTATACATGACATTTCACAGATGGACACATGAAAGTATACACCTACTTGACTTGTGGGGTCAGACACAGCTGGGTTCCAGTCTCTGTCTGCCTCTCATCTACCTAATTCCTAAAGATAATATTAGCATTAAAAATATCTGGCTCTAAGTACACAGCTAGTGACAAGTTTAGGTCACTTTCACCTCTGTGGCACCCCTTCACATATCTTTACACACCATTTAAAATCACCTAATGATCATTTTTATGTGTACTCTGGCATTTGTTTAATGCATACTCTACTTTTCTGGTATTATTTATAAAGCCTAAAATAAAAAAACCCTTTAAGGTAACATTATCAAATATATAAAATTATTCCCATATTGTATATCACCATAAAAAAAAAAAAACCCTCTCAGCTATAAGTATGATCTATACATAGATGACTACTGCTATTTTTTAGATCACAAATGTCCCCCTAAAGCCCACATATTAAGTGTTTAGTGCCTGGCTTGTTACTATTGGGAAGTAGAAGAAACTTTTAATAGGTAGGGCTTATTGGAAGATTTGAGGTCACTGTGAGCACGCCCTTGAAGGGGATTGTAGGACCGGGTGTTTTCCTCCTTCTCTCTTTTTCACTTCCTGGCCATCAGATAAAAGGCTTTGCTCCACTACACAGTTCTGCCATGATGGGCTGCTGCCTTGCTACAGGCCCCAAAACAAGGGGGTCAACAGACTATAGACTGACATCTCCAAAACTGTGAGCCGAAATAAATTTTTCTTCTTTTTTTTAAAGTTGATTATTTCAATATTTTGTTACAGTAACAGTAGCTGAGTAACACAACTAGCAAATACTATTGCCATCTCCCATACTTCCCCTAACACTTTAGAACTGAAATTCAACTGCCTACTTGACATTTTCACATGAAAGTCTAATTAGATATCTCAAAAACACCAGGACCAAAACTGAGCTCCTGATATTCCCAAAGTCCCAACCAGCCCCTCCTGCCATCTTCCTAATCTCTGTTAATGGAACCTTTTAGTTGCTGAGTCAAAAAGTTTGGTGTCACCCTTTAATCTAATCTTTAACACCAAATCCATCAATAAATCCTGTCAGTTGTACCTTCCAATATATCCACCATCTGACCACATCTCAAACATCTCTGCTACCAACATTATCTATAGCCTGAATTATAACAATAAACTTTTAACTATTCCTCCTGCTTCTACTCATGTCCCTCCACTATCTGATATTCATAAAGCAGTCAAGTTGATCCTGTAAATTTGAATCAGATTATGCCACGCCTCTGCTTAAAGCACTCCAAACTTTCCCATCATTCTAGTCATTACTAGAACCTACAAGTGTCTCAGTGATCCCAGCCTCTGAGCCTCTCAGATTTCATCTTCTAATTCCCCCTTCCCTCATTAACCTCACTCCAGCCACACTGCCTTCCTTGCTTGCCTGAAGG